AAGCCCCCTTTTTTTTTTTTTTTTTTTTTTTTTTTTTTTTTTTTTGGCGGCTGGCCAATAGGGAGATCTGAACCCTTGACCTTGGTGTCATAAGACAGCACTCTAATCAACAGTGGTAACCTTCCAGCCCCAAGGCCCCTATTCTAAAAAGTAGGAAAACAGCCTATGCTTAAGGGAAATTGTGACTTAATCCTATTTAGCCAGACACCAAATCATTGTTATAGAGAATGAAATATGATGTTATTTATATACATGATATCCAGGCCCTGATACTGTAAATAGATAGTTTATTAACTAAGCATATTGAAATGAGCTTAGCATCCTATGCCTTAAACAACTAGTTCCCCAGTCGATTCCTGACATTCCACTTGTTTTCTCCCTCCTTTTCCTTTAAGCAAACCCTAGGCATTCACTTACACTCATTCTCTCTCTCTCTCTTTCCTTCTCTCTCTCCTTCTCCCTGCTTCTTCTCTTTTTTCCTTTCCTCTCTTTCTTCTGTCCTTTCCTTCCTTCCTCCCTCCCTCTCTCCAATGAAAATGACACTAATTGTGGCATTGCTACATCATTAGCACCCTGTCAACATATCAACAATAAGTACATTGGTTCAGTTTTACAGGGGATGACATAACCTGATTCTGGGCAACTTGGAGTGGGGGAACACTAGGATGAAGCTCGTTCATTCATTCACTCATTCTTTCTTTCATTCATTCATTCTTTCATTGAGCAATTTACTCATTCATTTACTACTTATTGAGCACTAGTCATTTACCAAGCATTGTATTAAGTTCTATAGAAATAACAGTGAACAGGGCTGGCCCGGTGGCGCACTGCGATAGTGTGCCGCTTGGGAAGCGCGGCGGCGCTCCCGTCGAGGGTTCGGATCCCACATGCAGACCGGTTCCCGCTCGCTGGCTGAGCGAGGCGCGGGAGCAACGCCGAGGGTTGCAACTCCGTTGCCGGTCCCAGTCCGGTACGGGGGCGACACTGAGGGTTGCGATCCGTTGCCAGACACGGAAAAAGACAAAAAAAAGAAATAACAGTGAACAACAATACATTCCTTTGTTATGATGAGGAAAATAGATATAATTTAAATAAACACATATATGAATGTAAATTGCATTTGTGAAAAGTGCCGCCAAGATGAAGTATTTAGTTATATATGATTTTAAAGAAAGACTGTTTAGAGAAAGCCTTGAAATAAAGTGCTGAGGATTCTAGAAGGTCAATATGGATTATGCTTACTACGTAACTTTTCTTAAATTTAGAGGGATGAAGGTGTTCCCTAGAATTAATGGGATTTGCATAACTATATGGGCCCTGGTAATATTTTTCTCTATGCAGGCCATGAAATTTAACTGCCAAAACAGAAAGGAGAAATCAAGTCCTAGGTGTTTCCAATTCTGTCTCTTAAAGCTGCTTTTACTTGCACGTTCCTGTTGTCTGCATAGTCAGAAGCAACTCTTCATGTTCTGTCTACATAGATGTACACATCTATGAATAGATCTTGTCTGTATCTTTCTCTTAAACTTTCAGTACACATTGGGAAAAAGACACTGGAATACTTGTCTATTTTTCTAGGAAAATATCATCCTAAAAGCATCAA